AATGCACCCTGTTAAGAGTTTCTGCTAGAGAAGAGAGGCCCCTGGCCTTGCGTTCGAGGCAGTCGTGTCCTTACCTGGCTTCGTCTCTTTGTGGGGGAGGATGGGCTTCAGTGGCCAGAGCAGACACGGCCAGGCAAGGGGCCTGCCTGAGCTGCCGCTCTCGCTGTGGTGCACCTATGCTGACGAGTTGCTTTTCTGGCTGCGGGGAAGGGTCCCAGGGAGCTGAAGGCCCCGTGCGGTTGTGTGGATGATGGGGGACGACTGTGACCACAGGGCAGCTTGAAGGTAGTGCTGACCTTTCTGAATTTAAAAAGGAATTAAGAAGTGGCCTCTGCCATTGAGGGGTAGGGCTGCTAAGGGTGGCCAGTCGCCGGCCGGAGGGAGCCAGGCCCTGGCCGATCAGAGGACATGCAGGCTCTCCTGCGTGAGTGCTGCCCTGTCTTTTTCAGTCAGGGGAGAAGGCGCTTTCTCACTTGGCCCCTCCCCCAGACCTGCCCCCCATTATCCACCCTCCTGCTTCGGCACGACAAGGGCACAGATGGCACTTCAAAATATCAATACCTTCTTTTTCCTATATACAGTGGTTAGTGCAACTGAAATGGATCAATGGCTTCCTACCCTTGCTATTCCACCTCACAGTTTTACATCTAAATTGGAGATGGGAGATTGGCAGGGAAGGATTAAAGAAATCCCGTTGGGACTCACAGTGAATGAATTCTTGAGCAGCTCCGGAGCAGCTCTGGAAAAAGGCCGCCCGAAGGCTCTGCGCTCATCGACCGCCTCTTACGTCCGCGTGCCCCTGGCCCCGACTTAAGGTAGCTGATGCAGATCGTGTGAAGTCGAGGGATACGTCAGGTCTTTATTGGAAAGGTTTCATTACGCAAATGTTACCACTATTAAAATACACAGATTTACAAAACACTTTACAGACAACATTAAGTTAATAAATACAGTAAGATACCTATCGGTTTGTACATTCTCACCAGCTAGAGGATCAAAGAACAGGATACAGCACATTGAGATATCGTTAATTCCAAGGGGGGGAGCTTATTGCTTACGCCAGCAAGCAGCAAATAAGGGCACAGGAGTTTGAACTGAAGAGAACTATTTCCTATCACCACCAGTGGCATTGAGAAAAAAACACAAAGCATGTCACAAAGCACTGCACTTTTTTTCTTTTTTTTCTTTTCTTTGTTTGCTTAGTGTGTAGAATCGAGCCGCAGAGTTTTGGACCAAGAACAGCGACATTTCACATGTATCCTGCCCTGGGGTGAAGGTTGTTGCTTCACGGATGAAGCCCTCTACACACTCTAGCAGGACGTAATGAAAGAGGAAATGGGACACTTGCTAGGCGTAACGATAGTTTATACGGGACCACACTAGGCGCAGAGGTTTCCTCTCGGAGGGATCACAGGATGAGCAGCGGAGAATCCAGGCATGAATCCACACGGACGGAGTTAACGCTTTGGCTCCCCGCCCACCCCCCAAAAAAAGCGAGAGCGGATTCGGAGGCCAGGACTTTTCCAGTCATGCCTGTGCTGTGGGAAGAGGGTCAAAGGCCTGCATCGTTTGAGCGTTTTGGTGTGTCTTCAGGAAAATGGCACTTCCCCTTTCTGTAGAAGTGCAACGACCGAGGAGGAGAAGCGGTGTGTGGTGTACTCTCTTTTCTGGGAGAGCGTTTTTTAGACAAGGGAGCAGAGGGAGGCTGGCTTCTGAGCCCCTCCTGTTCCTCTGGAGCCCTTCCTTTTCTTGGCAATACTCCATTTGCAGCACCCCACAGTGGAGGTTTACAGTGGGCAGT